CACAACGTTTGATCTTTTCTCCCATCTTTTTTTTTTTTCCTGCCTCGCCTCTTTCGTTCCTTTCTCCGAATAATCGAACGTTGTGAAGCAGAAAGAAAAGGTGGATCGTTGTCTGCTACCACACAGATCGAATTCTACTTCGTTTCTATTCCGTTTCTTATCATTCGTGTCAGTGAATGCTTGTCCCTAATCGTGGATGACCATGTTTATACCGGTGGTGAAACTCGCGTTAACTCGTCGTTATTTTTTTTTTTTTGTTTCGAATTTCCCCGTCGATTAGAAAATTTCGTCGATCAGAAAACCACCACCAGCACTGTGGAACACGACGACGTGGTCGCGCGACGGTTCCACGAAGTCACGATTAGAATTTGTCCGATTAGAAGTCTCGCACCCCCGTTGCCATTGTAATTTCACCATCCTCATAAACACAGTCATTGGCTGAGCATGGTTGGCACCTTCCTAAGCAGGAATGTATGAATGTACAAGAATTGGATTGAATACAATGGGCAACATGACTGCAACATTTTTGGGTGTTGCACACGAGCTGCTCGATGAACGACCGTTACCCTGTGCATATAAAAATTTCAATTTAAATTCTCGCCATAACGAAAAAAGTAATCCTAGAGTATATCAATAAAACAAACTCTTGCTCCATGCTTCGAAACAAAACTCTCTGGTCACGCAACAGAATCCACTTACCGGAAACTCTGTTTTTTTTCTTTTCACGAGGCAGAGTTGAGCACTAAAAATTAATCAATTTAAAATTTTCTTCGAGTAAAGTTATTCTCACCGATTTTTACCTCAAAAAAACCTTCGAATGTAACATTTATTATATAAAATCATTTCCAAATAACTTCAACTCTTAACGCATCGCGGACCGATAGAAAGTTCAGAAACCAATAGCTGAATACGTACTTTACTTTAACCCCCACTTTACTTTAACGAGAAATTCATCCGTGATGCGTTAAAGCCATTTTGCCCATCTCTGTTACTCGAGAAAGCTTAAAGCTTAAGCTGCAAAAATGCGCAAAAGAGAACGGTCGTTCACGGATCAACCGTGTATCAACGCGTGATCGGTTGGCTATGTATATACACATATATATATATATGTGGTGTAGAGGTGTTTTTTTTTTTTTTTGGGCAGGGGGGAAGAAGAATTTACCCTGTGAGCCGGGGCGGCGCGGGAGCTCGCACCAATAGTAGATAGCTGTTCCGTCTGGTGTGACGCGGTGCGGCGGCAGTGGGTTGCCCGCGAAGCTGCCCGACAATGCTCGTCTTCGCCTCCTTCTGGGCAGGGTGGCGCTCTGCCTGTGCGTGGTCAGGTTGCCGCGCGTGATACGCGCGTTCGCGTTTTTATCTCTCAACTGGTCGTCGTTTTTGTTCTTGTTCCGCCCCGTGTAGTATTCCTCCTGGTCGGAGCCGGCCGAACGCAGACGCCTGCGCCCCCNNNNTCCGTGCGGCGCACCCTCACCAATTCGTCGTCGCTCAGCCGCCGATGCTCCTCGTCGTTCTCCAGGTTGTTCACCCGCTCGTGATTGATCTGTCCCGTGCTGTACGGCCTTCGTTTCCTGTTATTGTCCGCCTCCTCGTATCCCAACGGGAGTTCCTCCTTCCCGTGTACCAGTATCGCGCCCGCGTCCAGCTTCTGTCTCACGTTGTCGTCCGTCAAGCAAGGGGCCGCGGGCACGAGTATCTCGCTACCGACCTCGATATGGTTGTGCCGGTGATTCTGGAGGCCTGCCACCAACCGGACAATTCGTATCGATTCGATGCCACAGTGGGCGCGCTCGTGTCGAGTTTCTCCGCGATAAGATTTCATCCCTTCGTCTCTGTCGCTTCTACGCCCGCCGCGTGCATTCGTATTTGTCAAGGTAGATCAAAGAGCGTTGTTGGCTCTTTTCTTTTCTTTTTTTTTTTTTTTTTTTTTTCTTTAGCGGGAGAGACGAAGATCGATCGCTGGAAAGACGCAGGAGCACGCTCACCGTGTGCGTCGCGATAGGCCTCCTTGTGATTCGACGTTGCGTTCTCGTTTTCGCTACGCTCCCACGAGTTACGTTGTTGCTTGTGTTTCGGGCGTTGTTGCCTGGCGGGAAGGTGAGNCTTCGTCGCCTGACGTGAGGACTCCTGTGATTTCCTGGTGAGCCCCGGCCGCCCCAGCTGCTATCCTGTAGGTCGGCTACAAAGGAAAGAGCCGGAATGGCACGTGACACAGATTAGAGACAAGGTATTTCTTTCTTTCTTTTTTTTTTTCTTTCGTCGATTTCGATTTCTTTTTTCCGTTCGTATCTCTTTTTTTTTTTTTTTTCTTTTCTTTTCGATTTCGATCCATTTCGTGACAAACGTACGAGATTCGCGAGTGATGGTGTTGGTGGTGGTGGTGGTGGTGGTCTACAGCCGTTTCTCCTCGACGTGTGTCTCGTGTGTTTTCTTTTTTTCTTTTTTTTTTTTTTTTAATCTCTGTTCTCTGTTCTTTTTCGAAAATAGCGATCTGCAAACGTATCGAAACACCGCGTCTCGTGGCGCTGATGGACGGTCTGAAGGAAATACAAGAGCACGGATCAACTGGATTCTTCGGAACCAGAGCTCGGCCTTCGCCGTATCTCGACGAGTAATAAAAATTAGCCGCAAAGATGATGCCATCTTTGCGACCAATTGCGCGAGAGAAAAAAATAGCAAAGAAAAAAAAATATATATGTATATATCATTGGAAGCATGCAACTACCGGCGCTTCCATCGTGGAAAGTGAAATTTTGCTAAAACGCGTAGATCCGATAAACGCGAGCAAAATTAGGATTAATCCCAACGAGAGTAAATATACTTGCGAATAAAATTTAAAATCGTGGAGATTTAGACTCCTGGGTGGATCGTCGACCAACTATCGAGAGAAGAGAAATGTGCAGAATACACAGATACGTAACACAACAGCATGCACAGTCGATTCTTAGGGGCGCAGGCATAAGAGAGAAACGGGAAGAAGGTAAGTGGAGAGAAAATTGTGTAAATTCGTCCTTCGTCCGCGACTTCCGTCCCGGGCTTCGTCCAACTCCGACGGATTTCCAATTGGTGGTTATTCTAGAGATTTTCTAGTTACCGTCACGAACGTCTCCTGCTTCGATTTCGTTCAACCCGTTCGCCATCGAGTCCAGACCTTCGTTCTCCGACCTTGCCTTGGTCGCAGCCGTATCCGGTTTCGTCCTCCACCCGCCACGCACGAAATTGTTCAGATTCGCGCTCGGGTCGGATAGCCTTCGTTGGTGTCGATACAAAAACAGTTCCTCGGCGTCGTCCCAGTCGGCGTCCCACAAGGAATCCGTGGCGCAGTAGCCGGGCTCCGAGGTCGGTGTCTCCGCCCCCGAACCCTTCGGCTTCGTCACAGCCATCTCCGCGTGCCCCTTCCCTGAAAAGCAAAAAAAGTGTAGCGTTCCTCGGTCGAAGCAAAGCAGAGAGAGAGAGAGAGAGAGAGAGAGAGAGAGAGCGAGAGCAGAGACGTTTCCTATCGTACCACGAGGCCCCTTCATTCGAACGAATTCTATGCGCTGGGAGGCCGCGCCGGAAAACAGGCCAAAGGTCATTCGCTGCGCCATTTTGGTGCTCAAGCTGGACTGGAAGTGAAAGCGATGGGACGAGGTTCGTTTAAAACAGCGATGTATGCGTATAAACGTGCTTCTTTGATACAAAACGTACCCTGGCGTCGTATACTTTCTTCAGGGCGTCGTATCTGATAGAGCCGAGAAATATGACACCTTGAATCGCGCCCTCCCTGTCGGACGCCACCAGTTCCACGCACACCATCTCCCCGTCCCTGACTAGAATATCACAGAAAACTTCGTCGAAATTGTCCACCATGAAGCATATATGCGGATAGGTCATCTCCTCGAGATCACCCTTCGCGTCCATTCGTCTTCGGCTGGGGCTCGCGTACACTTTTTGCGAGTGCCTGCGCAATACCTGAAACGGTTATTTATGATTTAGGGAAGAAGAAGGAGCGAAAAGAAGGTTGGAAGAAAAAAAAATAATAAAATAAAAAGGAAAAAAAAAAAAGATTGGAAAAATTTTTGGGAGAAGAACGGCTCACTTGCAATTCCTTGGGGCTCGTCCTTGTGCAGATGGCTAAGGTCAGCGTGTAGTCGAATTGATGCACGACCAGATTCAGGTACACGGTTTCCTCCCAATCGATGTCGGGATCGCCGATAGGCAGCTTCTTGCTGTCCTTCCGGAACACGTCCACCTCCGTCTCGAATTTTGGCAAGTATCTCGACGACGTCTTCACGTGCTTCTTTCGCACGAAGAACAGCAAATCGTCGCCGTCGATCGTGTGCTCTGCCTGGAAGAGGAAGTGCCTGACAAACAGGTCCGTCCAGTAGGTTGTACCTTGAAGTATCACGAAG